ACTAGGCAAGTCAGTTAAGAACTAATTCTTATTTACAACGACGGCCTACCAAAAGGCAAAAGGCCTCCTGCGGGGACGGGGGCTGGGATTAAAAATAAAAATATAGGACAAAACACACATCGCGACAAGAGAGACACCACAACACTACATAAAGAGAGCCCTAAGACAACAACATAGCATGGTACCAACACATGACAACACAGCATGGTAGCAACACAACATGAAAACAACATGGTAGCAACACAACATGGCAGCAGCACAACAAGGTAGCAGCACAAAACATGGTACAAACATTATTGGGCACAGACAACAGCACAAAGGCAAGAAGGTGGAGACAACAATACATCACGCGAAGCAGCCACAACTGTCAGTAAGAGTGTCCATGATTGATTCTTTGAATGAAGAGATGGAGATAAATCTGTCCAGTTTGAGTGTTTTTTGCAGCTCATTCCAGTCACCAGCGAACTGAAAAGAGGAGGAACCCAGGGATGTGTGTGCTTTGGGGACCTTTAACAGAATGTGACTGGCAGAACGGGTGTTGTATGTGGAGGATGAGGGCTGCAGTAGGTATCTCAGATAGGGGGGAGTGAGGCCTAAGAGGTTTTTATAAATAAGCATCAACCAGTGGGTCTTGTGTCGGGTATATAGAGATTACCAGTTTACAGAGGAGTATAGAGTGCAGTGATGTGTCCTATAAGGAGCATTGGTGGCAAATCTGATGGCTGAATGGGAAAGAACATCTAGCCGCTCGAGAGCACCCTTACCTGCCGATCTATAAATTAGGTCTCTGTAATCTAGCATGGGTAGGATGGTCATCTGATTCAGGGTTAGTTTGGCAGCTGGGGTGAAAGAGGAGCGATTACGATATAGGAAACCAAGTCTAGATTTAAACATAGCCTGCAGTTTTGATATGTGCTGAGAGAAGGACAGTGTACCGTCTAGCCGTACTCCCAAGGACTTGTATGAGGTGACTACCTCAAGCTCTAAACCCTCAGAGGTAGTAATCACACCGGTGGGGAGAGGGGCATTCTTCTTACCAAACCACAGGACCTTTGTTTTGGAGGTGTTCAGTACAAGGTTAAGGGCAGAGAAAACATGTTGGACACTAAGAAAGCTTTGTTGTAGAGCGTTTAACACAAAATCCAGAGAGGGGCAAGCTGAGTATAAGACTGTATCATCTGTATATAAATGGATGAGAGAGCTTCCTACTGCCTGAGCTATGTAGTTGATGTAAATTGAGAAGAGCGTGGGGCCTATGATCGAGCCTTGGGGTACTCCCTTGGTGACAGGCAGTGGCTGAGACAGCAGATGTTCTGACTTTATACACTGCACTCTTTGAGAGAGGTAGTTAGCAAACCAGGCCAAAGACCCCTCAGAGACACCAATACTCCTTAGCCGGCCCACAAGAATGGAATGGTCTACCATATCAAAAGCTTTGGCCAAGCCATTAAAAATAGCAGCACAACATTGCTTAGAATCAAGGGCAGTGGTGACATCATTTAGGACCTTTAAGGTTGCTGTGACACATCCATAACTTGAGCGGAAACCAGATTGCATACCAGAGAGAATACTATAGACATCAAGAAAGCCAGTCAGTTGATTATTGACAAGTTTTTCCAACACTTTTGATAAACACGGCAAAATAGAAATTGGCCTATAACAGTTAGGATCAGCTTGATCTCCCCCTTTAAATAAAGGACGCACCGTGGCTGCCTTCCAAGCAACAGGAACCTCCCCAGAGAGGAGAGACGGGTTAAAAAGGTCAGAGATAGGCTTGGCGATGATAGGGGCTGCAACCTTAAAGAAGGAAGGATCTAAACCATCTGACCCAGATGTTTTTTTGGGGGGTCAAGTTTAAGGGAGAAACTTTGTTGCGGGGGAAAAAGAGGGAGGAGCATCTGGGCTAGTCGTATTAGAAGGACTGGGAGATGAGGAAATGTTAGACGGGCAATGAGGCACTTCTTTTTAATTTGCCTGAATGAGAGCCAGTCAGCCTGAGTATGCGTGTGCCGAGCCTTTCGCCAAATATAATTATTGAGGTGGAGTAACTCTGCCAGATCATGGTCGAACCAGGGGCTGAACCTGTTTTTTATTCTAATTTTCTTTATTTTCTCTGGTGGTTTCTCTTTAGTCTGGTGGTTTCTCTTTAGTCTGGTGGTTTCTCTTTAGTCTGGTGGTTTCTCTTTAGTCTGGTGGTGTTCTCTTTAGTCTGGTGGTTTCTCTTTAGTCTGGTGGTTTCTCTTTAGTCTGGTGGTTTCTCTTTAGTCTGGTGGTGTCTCTTTAGTCTGGTGGTGTCTCTTTAGTCTGGTGGTTTCTCTTTAGTCTGGTGGTTTCTCTTTAGTCTGGTGGTTTCTCTTTAGTCTGGTGGTTTCCTCTTTAGTCTGGTGGTTTCTCTTTATGTCCTGGTGGTTTCTCTTTAGTCTGGTGGTTTTCTTCTTTAGTCAGTGGTTTCCTTAGTCTGGTGGTTTCTCTTTAGTCTGGTGGTTTCTCTTTAGTCTGGTGGTTTCTCTTTAGTCTGGTGGTTTCTCTTTAGTCTGGTGGTTTCTCTTTAGTCTGGTGGTTTCTCTTTAGTCTAGTGGTTTAGGTCTGAGGTTTGTCTGTATTATTCTTTGACATCAGCATTGCAAAAGGATGTATTATGATTTATGAACACAGAACATAAATTAATTGCATACATTTTGTAAAGATCCCATCTTCAGAGTTGCTCAATTTATAAATCAGGAGCACCCACTCCATTGAGCATAGGATTTCCTCACACTGCTAAATACGCTGATGTAACATGGCCTTGTTTGAATGCATGTGCAGCTCGCCCCAAATACTGAAGACGTAGCTGCTGCAATTACCTGCGGTGTCAGTCAGATGAGATCTGTTGTGAAGTTGTTTGGGGGGGGGAGGACTTTTAAAGAATCCCTTGGGAACATAGAGGTTGCATCCCAAATGGCACCATATTCCCTATATAGTGCACTTCTTTTGACCAAAGACGCAGACAGAGAGTGAAGGTGAATGCTTTACTAGTACAGTGGCTTGCGAAAGTATTCACCCCCATTGGCTTTATTAGTAGTGCTGCTACTGCTGCTATCAGGAAGGGACCAAGTTGGCAGGCATGTAGATGATGTACCCGACGGCCATGAAATATTCATCAGGCCATAAGAGGTTGTAGTGCTTACAAGAGAGGAAGATTAAATGGAGGGGGCACGAGGAATCTGCTGTCCCAGGGCCTGTATGCACCCGGGAAATACTGTCAGTATAGAAATGAAATGGGTAGATCTGATATCACTAGGGTACAATATGGTTACAGTAATCTGTAATTATAAGAGGATTTGGATAAAGGTGCGGGACTAGAGGTGGTGAGGAAAGACTGAGGGAGAAAAGAGGATGCCGACTTCTAGTCTGTACTGCAGTCAGCAGCATAGAAGTGGAATGAATAGAAACAAACATCCTACCAAATTGGATGGCTTCTTTTATTTTTTTTAAACAGTTATCTGAAATAATGTTCAGTCCTTTGAAGATTTTTCTTTGCTCTGTGCTAATCACAACCAATTACCTTTATCAGTTCTCAGTGCAGCTGCAGCACCAATGCATCTTTAGTGGTAAATATGTTGTTATGGGTCTAACGCATTACACTATGTTGTCCATTCTATATATCTATCTGTCTCGGTGGAGCTGACCTGGGACCAGTCCCAGATGCACTTAACCTGTGAGGCGTGTTCTGCTCCAATGACTTGAATGCCGCTTGCATGGGGACGGTCGTCACCTCTGTCACCATGGTAACGGCCCGTCACCCCAGGCGGCAGGCAACACTCCTGGAACTGGCTCTAGATAAAGCCCACAACACAACGGGGCACAGCTGTATTTAGAAACACAGATATGCAGGCGCACACATAGAAACACATGCACCCAAAATGCGAGCACGCACACCTTGTGCATGTAGGCTATAGAGCAAGCATGACACTACCACATTTAGCAGACGCTGCTATCCAGAGCAATTTACAGATTTTCATACTAGTCTCCCATGGGAATAGAACCCACAACCCTGGCGTCGCAAGCACCATGCTCTACCAACTGAGCTATAGGGGAACGCTCATTTGAAATCCATTTTACTCATGATTAAATAAAGATAGGCTATGTTAAAACTGTGGGAGATTAGGCTACTGGACAGTTATTATGGCAAATACAAAAAGAATAAGCACTATTCCATCACCTACAAAAGCCCAATTAAATCCCTTCACGTTTCACTTTAGCTGTCATGCATAAATCCGTCACCGTTCTTTCCCCTCCTCACGCGCTACTTTCAGCACCCCGCAGCTCGTTCCACCCATATTATCCCACCTCTCAAAGACGATTGGCAGCAATAGCAGCCACACGCGTGTCTACGGCTGCGTTCACACAGGCAGCCCAATTCTGATATTTTTCCACTAATTGGTCTTTTGACCAATCACATCAGATCTTTTCACAGCAGATCTTTTTCAGAGCTGATCTGATTGGTCAAAAGACAATTAGGTGGTAAGAAATATCAGAATTGGGCTGCCTGTCTAAACGCAGCCTAAGACACTTGTGGTTCCCTAAACCATATTGGGAGGGATAGGATTTTTAAAGCAATTTGCTCCAGCCTCCCCTCTGTTTTCACTCTAATTCTACAGCCTGCTCTAGGAGGATTGAAATTGGCGGCTTGAGTGTTAACTCGCCCATGTAAAGCGACCACGGGAGCTCACCGCTGCAATAACTAAACCTGTCTTGGCAGTAAGAGGATTGGTTGACTGTAAAAACATCTGCCTGACGCTCGGTTGAAGAGCGTGAACGGCGGTTGAGGAAACAAGTAAAGTCCAGCGTCTCACGATCACCGACGAGCATATGAGCAAGTAGCCTACAGCTTTTGATAGTATCGTTTAATGGCACTTTACGGTATTGAATAGGGATGATACTAATTAATCTCCTAGTAGGTGTCCATTTGCCTATCAATTTAGTCATTGCGCGCAAGTGGTTGGTTTCGGTTATGCTCAATGGAGAGCAAACGGATTCTTCACTTTGTCGGTAAAAGCAGTCACGGTATGGCTTTTTTCCTTATTCACCTGCTTTTGCAAATGGGATTCGTTTTCGGATCTAATTATGGGTATGTGGAATGGTCGGATAACGACAAAGAAGCTGAAATACGATCGAAGAACCCCATTATTTACAGCACTCAAAATACTTATTACCCAGGACCCGCAACGGAGCGCACCGTGGTGGCGCACAAAATCGAAGAGGACCTGCCTAGGGTGGTGACAGCTTTCCTGCACACGGGAGACTCATCGGCTCTTGAACAAGTCAACTGTTCTCGGAGGTATGAGTTGAGTAGCCTCCGCGGTGGAACCAATGTGGCCTCACACTATTTTCTCCATAGCGTGCTGGACACTATGGCGCACGCGACCAACTTTCTGAACATGATTTTACAAGCTAACAGGTCGCGAGAGCACAGCCTTCGGAGGGATATTCACTGGTACCACGCTCTGGTTCGGAGTATTCTCGAGGGGGACCCCAAAATTCACAGGGCAGTGGTTGCATTCCATACTGATGCTCCGACGCCGGATCCTCACGTTTTCCTTCAAGCGACAAGAACTGAAGGGGAAGTGGTCCTCCAGGACCTTTCCAACTCCGCTCACCACCATCTCAAGAGCAGGAGCCCGGATTCTGAGTGGTTTAACGAGTTCAGGGACCGAAAGAAAACGCACATGCAGAGAAGGGCGTCGAGCCGAGACCCCTGTAGCCACTCAAAATGGCTACATTCTCGACAAAAGTCAAATCAAGTGGTCTGCGCCTTACCTGGAATGCGAGCATGGGAATTTCGTACCACACTGGCTACTCACCTTGTCTGCAGGGTTCTATGGGTTGAAGATAAATTCCGCGCCCGAGTTCAGGTGAGTAGCCTAGACTAGGGGACCTGGCTGTGACTCATGACTGTTTGTTTGAAAGGAACACTATTGGTTTAGATTTGCCACGTTTATCGAATCAAACATTTTATTGTAGGCCTAATCTCAGTTGTTCAGATCCAGAAGGGACAGCGTTGCCGTCCTGGCAGTGCACTTCCCGCGCTTTGAAGCAGGCCAGGTGCATGGAAAAGGCCCCAAATAAATCCTCTCGACACAAACAGTAGGATAAAGCTGCTTCCCCAGAGCAAAGTTGTATAGTGTACCGTACTGTATTTTAATCTACATAAGTGACTTTCGACCCATCCTCTATTCGGATGCATATGGTTAGTTTGCACAGATTTAGCTGGCTAAACTCAACTCCATTCTGAAGGAAGTTTCTGATGAGCAGAGACCAGACCTTGTGGAATTTAGCTCCGACTACATCGATTCGCCCAAGGTCAATACTTTATTATGAAATGCTTACCTTGTAGGCTACCTATGTTAGTCCTCTGTAGTTGCGTGCCTTTCTTTTTTTTTTTGCTGAAATCCATACTTTTTCAATAAACGTTAATCAAATAGGTACAACCACCGGCTATTTGCTCATTGACATTGTACATGCTCTAAGATGGCAACTCAGTGCAAATGCGCATGGAGCCTACCAATTCTCAACAATGGAGGAAACAGTCGATGGTTGTATTTGATTTAACTATTTGATTTAAAAAAAGACTGTCTATGATTAACCAACAATGATGTCCATCAAAAACAACTCATGTGTATTGTATTCACACTGTAGGCCTCTACACTTCCTTTTTGAGGAATGTGTTTGCTGTAAAAAATAAAATAAAATAAGACCCCTTGACTGCATGGTTAAAAAAAGCTGTCTTTGCTGTGTTTTTGTGCAGCTGGTGTGTGTGTAAGTAGGTGGGTGCATTAGAAAATACAAAAAAAGATGTCATATTTCAAGGCTCCAGTTCAAGTGTGTATACAAAAAATCTATTTTGTCATGAATGAATTATAAAAGACCACTTTGAATTTCAAGTGCACTTTACTCCCACTTAAATTTGAGTGCTGTGTCTACACAATAATTCCAGCATGTTAGTTTTGTCACCAAGCTTTATTTGTTAAGGCAGGACTACACACTGTAAGATGATCTCGAAGCGGTTGCCTGAGCTGATCGAAAAACAATTCCCAAGCCCATATCATTAAACCAGGGGGGGCTCTGTTATGGAGTGCTGCAGGCACAGCAACGTTTAGTTCTAACCAAGCACCACAACTGACCACTAATTCACCTCACCAACTCAGTGATTGGCTACATTTCCCAGGTATTCCATGTCCAGGGTTGCCCACACCTGCTCTGTGCCCTTGTTGAAACCTCTTAACCGATCTGAAAGGTTTTGCTAGGTCTCTACAATGGGGTAAGATCTTCCATGGTGCTTGATCACACCTACCCAGTCAAGTTTAGATCTGCGATGGAAGGGGATCAACAAAGGCCCATCTGTAGGTCATTTGGCATTGGGCAGCAGCAGCCTGAAAATACAAAGACCCCTGCTGTTGCAGACAGCTACTGTACGGTTCCGGCTTAGCAAATAATCACAGCTATCAACCCTTTTTTTTCTACTTGCATTTGGTATTTGATGTGTGTATTTCTGTAATTGCTGTAATTCAGGGCTCATCTGTAAAACAGACCTTGGTCTCTGTATGACACCCTGATAAAAAAATCCCAAATAATCAAATCCAGGTCATGCACGGAGATAGGCATTATCGACCTTGGAGCTGCTTTTGAAACATTCGGATTTCAAGTCCGATATACTTTATTTTGTAAAGTTCACTTTGCTCTCTGACAGCCATTGTATGAGGACATTGGTATTAAGCCATCAGTGAGATTACCTTTAATTGGCTGCAAAATTAACTGCTTCTACCTTTTTTTTTTAAAGAGCTGGTTCCTGTTCAGAATTTCAGAATGTCCTGAGGGCGCATTAAAACTCATTTGACATTCCCACAAATGGATGTGACATAGTCGTCTAGTGATTAGCAGCAGCATGGCTTTTAGAATAGGCCTGTGGATTCAGGGTCACAACTACAGTCTAAGAGAATCCCTCTGCACAGTCTCTCTCTCTTCCTTTTTTCTGAGAGTTTGTTGGCCAAATCTCTCGATGTACATCCCAAGCAATATATTCACCCCAAGGTTAAAATATACAAAGACAGACCTTTTTTTTTGTTTTTGTAAACCTAATCAAAATGTAAATGATTCCAGTGGGCTTTTGTGGAGGATTTGCAGAATGAGAGCATTGGCTTTGAGCTTGACGTAATGGTCCAAGTGTCCTCAGGCATCTCCTTGCTTTCCTTCCAGCTGGATACAGGTTAATAGAAAAACAGCCATTTTGTGGGATATTTGGTTTGAGGCCATTATCATGAACTGTCTGTTAAGCCTATAACATATTGGTAGAGAGATCATCTAGTATAATGGCTGTTTGGTAATTGATTTGGGATTAGACTGGTTATATTTACATTTTAGTCATTTAGCAGACGCTCTTATCCAGAGCGACTTACAGGAGCAATTAGGGTTAAGTGCCTTGCTCAAGGGCACATCAACAGATTTTTCACCTAGTCGGCTCGGGGAATAGAACCAGCGACCTTTCGGTTACTGGCACAACGCTCTTAACCACTAAGCTACCTGCCGCCCCAATTACAATGGTTAGGCTATATGTTATGGCCGTATTTTTTTGTTTTGAGCTGAGTGACTTCAAAATAAAAGCCTTTCTCCTGCTTGGTGGTTACCCCATGTTCTGGATCCTCAATTCTCACACTTTTGTCTACTTCCTCCTCCACACACACACACACACACACACACACACGTGCACATAGAGAGAGCTTATTTATCTTATCAACACTTTGTCTTTCACAGTTACAGATTCTTCCTCTCCTCGTTCTCTATAGAGGATTTAGCTTATCAACACTTTGTCTTTCACAGTTACACAGTCTTCCTCTCCCCTCTGTTCTCTATAGAGGATTTAGCTTATCAACACTTTGTCTGTCACAGTTACACATTCTTCCTCTCCCCTCTGTTCTCTATAGAGGATTTAGCTTATCAACACTTTGTCTTTCACAGTTACACATTCTTCCTCTCCGCTCTGTTCTCGATAGAGGATTTAGCTTATCAACACTTTCTGTTGTATTCTTGCGCCTGGGGAAAGATGGCATGAGCCTCAGCCTTTTCTCTTCATTGGTGTTTGTTCCAGTTCCCATCAGACACATGGAGCTAATGGGTGTTAGGGTCCTCTTGAGAACCTGCCCTGGGCCTGATATATATATATATGTGTGTGAGAGAGAGAGAGATATGTGGGACGGTGTGAAAGTGGGAGATGGTGTTTGATCGCGTAAGAAAGACTGAAAGGTGTCCAGACACAGAGATCAGGAGGATTCATGGCAAACTGAAAAAAGGTGCAGAAAGAAAGGTGGAGAAAAGGCAATAGAAAGAAACAGACTGAATAAAGACTGACCTGGGGCCTGTGGATAGAGAACACCTGATGTCAGCCAGGGACCTAGGCCTACATGGTTCGATCCCCGGGACCACCCATACACAAAAAATGTATGCACGCATGACTGTAAGTCGCTTTGGATAAAAGTGTCTGCTAAATGGCATATTATTATAATTATTATACTGATACAACAGTAGACTAGTGATTTCAGCTTTGTTGGCTCATCTAGCATTCAGTTTTACTATCGTTGCATTCCTGGGTCCGTATGCGTGATCTAGGATCCGCCTGTCCCAACTATCCAGCTGTCTGAATGCGAACTGTGGATATGTGAAGGTTCTTTGGATGCAAGCCATTGCAGTAGCCTAATGAGCCATTGCAGTAGCCTAATGAGCCATTGCAGTAGGCTAATGAGCCATTACAGTAGCCTAATGAGCCATTGCAGTAGCCTAATGAGCCATTGCAGTAGCCTAATGAGCCATTGCAGTAGCCTAATGAGCCATTGCAGTAGCCTAATGAGCCATTGCAGTAGCCTAATGAGCCATTGCAGTAGACTAATGAGCCATTGCAGTAGCCTAATGAGCCATTGCAGTAGCCTAATGAGCCATTGCAGTAGCCTAATGCAGGGGTTCCCAAACGTTTTCCTGCAATTCTACACATTTTGTCATGGGGGTGCAAAAAAAATGTTGCAGTTTTAAAGCTCATTTTCTTGCAATTGTATACATTTTGCCATGTCTAATGTGTATACTTGTGAAATTTAAGTGACAAAAATTACAACAATATCTATGGGCTAAAAAAATGAAATAAAAAAACATTAGCTGACATGGGCTAGTTGATCTGGACATTTCTGACAAGTTATAAATAGCTCTCTAAGGTATGCAATGACTGACATGATGAGGAAAACTGATGATGCGCTACCCAATTTAGAAATGGCACCTTGTGCATTCTACTATTACAACTTTCAACAGTAAGTTGAAAGCTGGACTGAGTTCCTTTTTTTGGGAACCACTGGCCTAATGAATTAATGCAGTAGCCTAATGAATCAATGCAGTAGCCTAATGAATCAATGCAGTAGCATAATGAACCAATGCAGTAGCCTAATGAATCAACGCAGTAGCCTAATGAACCAATGCAGTAGCCTAATGAATTAATGCAGTAGCCTAATGAATCAATGCAGTAGCCTAATGAATCAATGCAGTAGCCTAATGAACCAATGCAGTAGCCTAATGAACCAATGCAGTAGCCTAATGAACCAATGCAGTAGCCTAATGAACCAATGCAGTAGCCTAATGAATCAATGCAGTAGCCTAATGAACCAATGCAGTAGCCTAATGAACCAATGCAGTAGCCTAATGAACCAATGCAGTACCCTAATGAACCAATGCAGTAGCCTAATGAACCAATGCAGTAGCCTAATGAACCAATGCAGTAGCCTAATGAATCAATGCAGTAGCCTAATGAACCAATGCAGTAGCCTAATGAACCAATGCAGTAGCCTAATGAACCAATGCAGTAGCCTAATGAACCATGTGCCAGTAGAAATGCTGCATGTGTACACTGCAGTATAGTCCCCCAGAGGTAAACAGAATCAAGCAGGCATTGGTCTATTGATTTACTGTCAGCGATAAGCTATTCATGTTTTGGTTACAATAAACATGATGTTCAGAGCTAGATTCGACATGGCTCGGCTGCTTCTCTCATCAGGGCATATAAAAAATAAAATGATCATTCAACATAACATGAACATATTAACGTTATACACAGGACATTGTTTTTTTTGTTGCAATTGACATGAAATTGGAAGAAATACTCTCATTGAGTGGCATTTGATGCTCATACCAGTTTTTGCCTGGAATAGTTTATTTCCCTCAAGAATAGTTCATCTGTAGGCGTTCGACCAAAGTCGAGACCCTGTTATGATGAGGTCACAATGGATTGTAACCTCTAGCCTTCTATCTACCACTAAAAGAGACGTCTGAGTTGAAGCTAACTGCTCTCTCTAACCTCTAACCTCTAACCTCTAACCTCTCTCCACACCCCCCACCAACCCTCTCTGTCTCTCTGTCTCTCCTATTACAGGGGTGTGGTTCGAGTGGACGTCAACCTACAGGATGTGGACATTGACCAGTGCTCCAGCAGTGGCTGGTTTGCTGGGACTCACCGCTGTAACCTGACCAGCATGGATGTGAGTCGACTTCTCTGATCCTTTTATTCATCCATTCATCCGTCCAACTTTCCATCCCTCCCTTCGTCCATCCATCCCTTCGTCCATCTATTCCTACATCCCTTCGTCCATCCATTCCTCCATCCCTTCGTTCATCCATCCGTTCCTCCATACATCCATCCGTTCATCCATTCCTCCATCTTTCCATCCAGCAGCCCTTCCACAAATGTTTTGCTGACAAAACAATCATACAGTACATAAAAATGCAGTGCATAAAGCCTTTAGTAAGAATGCAGGACATAAAGCCTTTAAGAATGCAGGGCGTAAAGCCTTTAGTAAGAATGCAATGCATAAAACCTTTAGTAAAAATGCAGTGCATAAAGCCTTTAATAAGAATGCAGTGCATAAAGCCTTTAGTAAGAATGCAGTGCATAAAGCCTTTAGTAAGAATGCAGGACATAAAGCCTTTAAGAATGCAGTGCATAAAGCCTTTAGTAAGAATGCAGTGCATAAATCCTTTAGTAAGAATGCAGTGCATAAAGCCTTTAGTAAGAATGCAGTGCATGAAGCCTTTAGTAAGAATGCAGTGCATAAAGCCTTTAGTAAGAATGCAGTGCATAAAGCCTTTAGTAAGAATGCAGTGCATAAAGCCTTTAAAAATGCAGTGCATAAAGCCTTTAGTAAGAATGCAGTGCATGAAGCCTTTAGTAAGAATGCAGTGCATAAATCCTTTAGTAAGAATGCAGTGCATAAATCCTTTTGTAAGAATGCAGTGCATAAAGCCTTTAGTAAGAATGCAGTGCATAAATCCTTTAGTAAGAATGCAGTGCATAAATCCTTTAGTAAGAATGCAGTGCATAAAGCCTTTAGTAAGAATGCAGGACATAAAGCCTTTAGTAAGAATGCAGTGCATAAAGCCTTTAGTAAGAATGCAGTGCATAAAACCTTTAGTAAGAATGCAGTGCATAAAGCCTTTAGTAAGAATGCAGTGCATAAAGCCTTTAGTAAGAATGCAGTGCATAAAGCCTTTAGTAAGAATGCAGGGCGTAAAGCCTTTAATAAGAATGCAGTGCATAAAGCCTTTAGTAAGAATGCAGTGCATAAAGCCTTTAAAAATGCAGTGCATAAAGCCTTTAGTAAGAATGCAGTGCATAAAGCCTTTAGTAAGAATGCAGTGCATACATCCTTTAGTAAGAATGCAGTGCATAAATCCTTTAGTAAGAATGCAGTGCATAAAGCCTTTAGTAAGAATGCAGTGCATAAATCCTTTAGTAAGAATGCAGTGCATAAAGCCTTTAGTAAGAATGCAGTGCATAAATCCTTTAGTAAGAATGCAGTGCATAAATCCTTTAGTAAGAATGCAGTGCATAAAGCCTTTAGTAAGAATGCAGTGCATAAAGCCTTTAAAAATGCAGTGCATAAAGCCTTTAGTAAGAATGCAGTGCATAAAGCCTTTAGTAAGAATGCAGTTCATAAATCCTTTAGTAAGAATGCAGTGCATAAATCCTTTAGTAAGAATGCAGTGCATAAATCCTTTAGTAAGAATGCAGTGCATAAATCCTTTAGTAAGAATGCAGTGCATAAAGCCTTTAGTAAGAATGCAGTGCATAAATCCTTTAGTAAGAATGCAGTGCATAAAGCCTTTAGTAAGAATGCAGTGCATAAAGCCTTTAGTAAGAATGCAGTGCATAAAGCCTTTAAAAATGCAGTGCATAAAGCCTTTAGTAAGAATGCAGTGCATAAAGCCTTTAGTAAGAATGCAGTGCATAAATCCTTTAGTAAGAATGCAGTGCATAAATCCTTTAGTAAGAATGCAGTGCATAAAGCCTTTAGTAAGAATGCAGTGCATAAATCGTTTAGTAAGAATGCAGTGCATAAATCCTTTAGTAAGAATGCAGTGCATAAAGCCTTTAGTAAGAATGCAGGACATAAAGCCTTTAGTAAGAATGCAGTGCATAAAGCCTTTAGTAAGAATGCAGTGCATAAAACCTTTAGTAAGAATGTAGTGCATAAAGCCTTTAGTAAGAATGCAGTGCATAAAACCTTTAGTAAGAATGCAGTGCATAAAGCCTTTAGTAAGAATGCAGTGCATAAAGCCTTTAGTAAGAATGCAGTGCATAAAGCCTTTAGTAAGAATGCAGTGCGTAAAGCCTTTAGTAAGAATGCAGTGCGTAAAGCCTTTAGTAAGAATGCAGTGCGTAAAGCCTTTAGTAAGAATGCAGTGCATAAAGCCTTTAGTAAGAATGCAGTGCATAAAGCCTTCAGTAAGAATGCAGTGCATAAAGCCTTTAGTAAGAATGCAGGACATAAAGCCTTTAAGAATGCAGTGCATAAAGCCTTTAGTGAGAATGCAGTGCATAAATCCTTTAGTAAGAATGCAGTGCATAAAGCCTTTAGTAAGAATGCAGTGCATAAAGCCTTTAGTAAGAATGCAGTGCATAAAGCCTTTAAAAATGCAGTGCATAAAGCCTTTAGTAAGAATGCAGTGCATAAAGCCTTTAGTAAGAATGCAGTTCATAAATCCTTTAGTAAGAATGCAGTGCATAAATCCTTTAGTAAGAATGCAGTGCATAAATCCTTTAGTAAGAATGCAGTGCATAAATCCTTTAGTAAGAATGCAGTGCATAAAGCCTTTAGTAAGAATGCAGTGCATAAATCCTTTAGTAAGAATGCAGTGCATAAAGCCTTTAGTAAGAATGCAGTGCATAAAGCCTTTAGTAAGAATGCAGTGCATAAAGCCATTTTTACATTTTTTACATTTTTAGTCATTTAGCAGACGCTCTTATCCAGAGCGACTTACAGTTAGTGAATACATTTTTTTTATTTTTTATACTGTCCCCCGTGGGAATCGAACCCACAACCCTGGCGTTGCAAACGCCATGCTCTATCAACTGAGCTACATCCCTGCCGGCCATTCCCTCCCCTACCCTGGACGACACTGGGCCAATTGTGCGCCGCCCATGAGTCTCCCGGTCGCGGCCGGCTGCGACAGAGCCTGGATTCGAACCAGGATCTAGTGGCACAGTTAGCACTGCGATGCAGTGCCTTAGACCACTGCGCCACTCAAGCCTTTAAAAATGCAGTGCATAAAGCCTTTAGTAAGAATGCAGTGCATAAAGCCTTTAGTAAGAATGCAGTGCATAAATCCTTTAGTAAGAATGCAGCGCATAAATCCTTTAGTAAGAATGCAGTGCATAAAGCCTTTAGTAAGAATGCAGTGCATAAATCGTTTAGTAAGAATGCAGTGCATAAATCCTTTAGTAAGAATGCAGTGCATAAAGCCTTTAGTAAGAATGCAGGACATAAAGCCTTTAGTAAGAATGCAGTGCATAAAGCCTTTAGTAAGAATGCAGTGCATAAAACCTTTAGTAAGAATGCAGTGCATAAAGCCTTTAGTAAGAATGCAGTGCATAAAACCTTTAGTAAGAATGCAGTGCATAAAGCCTTTAGTAAGAATGTAGTGCATAAAGCCTTTAGTAAGAATGCAGTGCATAAAGCCTTTAGTAAGAATGCAGTGCGTAAAGCCTTTAGTAAGAATGCAGTGCGTAAAGCCTTTAGTAAGAATGCAGGACATAAAGCCTTTAGTAAGAATGCAGGGTGTAAAGCCTTTAGTAAGAATGCAGGGTGTAAAGCCTTTAGTAAGAATGCAGTGCATAAAGCCTTTAAGAATGCAGTGCATAAAGCCTTTAGTAAGAATGCAGTGCATAAAGCCTTTAGTAAGAATGCAGTGCATAAAGCCTTTAGTAAGAATGCAGTGCATAAAGCCTTTAGTAAGAATGCAGTGCATAAATCCTTTAGTAAGAATGCAGTGCATAAAGCCTTTAGTAAGAATGCAGTGCATAAATCCTTTAGTAAGAATGCAGTGCATAAAGCCTTTAGTAAGAATGCAGTGCATAAAGCCTTTAGTAAGAATGCAGTGCATAAAGCCTTTAAAAATGCAGTGCATAAAGCCTTTAGTAAGAATGCAGTGCATAAAGCCTTTAGTAAGAATGCAGTTCATAAATCATTTAGTAAGAATGCAGTGCATAAATCCTTTAGTAAGAATGCAGTGCATAAATCCTTTAGTAAGAATGCAGTGCATAAATCCTTTAGTAAGAATGCAGTGCATAAAGCCTTTAGTAAGAATGCAGTGCATAAATCCTTTAGTAAGAATGCAGTGCATAAAGCCTTTAGTAAGAATGCAGTGCATAAAGCCTTTAGTAAGAATGCAGTGCATAAAGCCTTTAAAAATGCAGTGCATAAAGCCTTTAGTAAGAATGCAGTGCATAAAGCCTTTAGTAAGAATGCAGTGCATAAATCCTTTAGTAAGAATGCAGTGCATAAATCCTTTAGTAAGAATGCAGTGCATAAAGCCTTTAGTAAGAATGCAGTGCATAAATCGTTTAGTAAGAATGCAGTGCATAAATCCTTTAGTAAGAATGCAGTGCATAAAGCCTTTAGTAAGAATGCAGGACATAAAGCCTTTAGTAAGAATGCAGTGCATAAAGCCTTTAGTAAGAATGCAGTGCATAAAACCTTTAGTAAGAATGCAGTGCATAAAGCCTTTAGTAAGAATGCAGTGCATAAAACCTTTAGTAAGAATGCAGTGCATAAAGCCTTTAGTAAGAATGCAGTGCATAAAGCCTTTAGTAAGAATGCAGTGCATAAAGCCTTTAGTAAGAATGCAGTGCGTAAAGCCTTTAGTAAGAATGCAGTGCGTAAAGCCTTTAGTAAGAATGCAGTGCGTAAAGCCTTTAGTAAGAATGCAGTGCATAAAGCCTTTAGTAAGAATGCAGTGCATAAAGCCTTCAGTAAGAATGCAGTGCATAAAGCCTTTAGTAAGAATGCAGGACATAAAGCCTTTAAGAATGCAGTGCATAAAGCCTTTAGTGAGAATGCAGTGCATAAATCCTGCATAAAGCCTTTAGTAAGAATGCAGTGCATAAAGCCTTTAGTAAGAATGCAGTGCATAAAGCCTTTAGTAAGAATGCAGTGCATAAAGCCTTTAGTAAGAATGCAGGACATAAAGCCTTTAGTAAGAATGCAGGGTGTAAAGCCTTTAGTAAGAATGCAGGGTGTAAAGCCTTTAGTAAGAATGCAGTGCATAAAGCCTTTAAGAATGCAGTGCATAAAGCCTTTAGTAAGAATGCAGTGCATAAAGCCTTTAGTAAGAATGCAGTGCATAAAGCCTTTAGTAAGAATGCAGTGCATAAAGCCTTTAGTAAGAATGCAGGGCGTAAAGCCTTTAGTAAGAATGCAGGACGTAAAGCCTTTAGTAAGAATGCAGGACGTAAAGCCTTTAGTAAGAATGCAGTGCATAAAGCCTTTAGTAAGAATGCAGTGCATAAAGCCTTTAGTAAGAATGCAGTGCATAAAGCCTTTAGTAAGAATGCAGTGCATAAAGCCTTTAGTAAGAATGCAGTGCATAAAGCCTTTATTGAGAATGCAGTGCATAAAGCCTTTAGTAAGAATGCAGGACATAAAGCCTTTAAGAATGCAGTGCATAAAGCCTTTAGTAAGAATGCAGTGCATAAATCATTTAGTAAGAATGCAGTGCATAAAGCCTTTAGTAAGAATGCAGGGCGTAAAGCCTTTAAGAATGCAGTGCATAAAGCCTTTAGTAAGAATGCAGGACATAAAGCCTTTAAGAATGCAGTGCATAAAGCCTTTAGTAAGAATGCAGGGCGTAAAGCCTTTAAGAATGCAGTGCATAAAGCCTTTATTGAGAATGCAGTGCATAAAGCCTTTAGTAAGAATGCAGTGCATAAAGCCTTTAGTAAGAATGCAGTGCATAAAGCCTTTAGTAAGAATGCAGGGTATAGCTTCTTTGCAAGCAATATGTATGTCCCTCTGAATGCAATTGGTAATGCCTATGAAAATGAAGAGTACTTGGCAAGATAACACACATCCAAGATGTGTACTGCTACTGGGAGAATCAATGAAGGCATGAGAACAACAATAATCCTGTTCTTAGTATTGCTGCTCCCCAAACGGAATCTATTGTCTTGGCGTGAAGTTAACGGTTTACATGTTGTTTGTCTCCATGGAGACAGTAAATCACTCTGGGGAGCAGAGTGCGGGTTCGTCTTTGTTCTTATGTAAAGAATAGCAAGATTAACAGAATTCTGTAGCAATATTTGCATTGAATATGGGATGCTGTATATAATAGACCTTTTTCTTGTAGCTGCGCATTGTTCACGGCTTAATACGGAGTAACTTACTCAGGAAGTGGAACACAGAGGTTTTAACCAGTGTTTCTAGTGACTGGCACCAGGGGGACATAATGTTTGATCACCCTCAGAGTGCAGGCTATCGACTAAACCACCCGTCTTCTGAGTTGTTGATGATGTTAAGTGTGTGTGTACTGCGTTTGAAGTGTGTGTCAAATGTCTGTGATGTGTAATGTGTTGCAGCTCAATTCAGTGGTGGGGTCAGGCTTGTTGTGCAGGCTTGTTGTTCAGACTTGTTGTTCGGGCTTGCTGTTCAGGTTTGCATGGCACTGGCTATATGATGTATTATAAATGCAGTGTAATGGATTGCAGCAAGAACACTGAATTATTGACCATACTCGTTGTCTGGGTGCTCCCCCTCCTAGGCTTTTCCTCTCTTCTGGGAGTTCTACTGAAGGAACATACCAAGGTTCCATGTATCCCAGTTCTACTGAAGGAACATACCAAGGTTCCGTGTATCCCAGTTCTACTGAAGGAACATACCAAGGTTCCATGTATCTCAGTTCTACTGAAGGAACATACCAAGGTTCCATGTATCCCAGTTTTACTGAAGGAACATACCAAGGTTCCGTGTATCCCAGTTCTACTGAAGGAACATACCAAGGTTCCATGTATCCCAGTTCTACTGAAGGAACATACCAAGGTTCCATGTATCCCAGTTCTACTGAAGGAACATACCAAGGTTCCATGTATCCCAGTTCTACTGAAGGAACATACCAAGGTTCCGTGTATCTCAGTTCTACTGAAGGAACATACCAAGGTTCCGTGTATCCCAGTTCTACTGAAGGAACATACCAAGGTTCCGTGTATCCCAGTTCTACTGAAGGAACATACCAAGGTTCCGTGTATCCCAGTTCTACTGAAGGAACATACCAAGGTTCCGTGTATCCCAGTTCTACTGAAGGAACATACCAAGGTTCCGTGTATCCCAGTTCTACTGAAGGAACATACCAAGGTTCCATGTATTCCAGTTCTACTGAAGGAACATACCAAGGTTCAGTGTATCCCAGTTCTACTGAAGGAACATACCAAGGTTCCATGTATCCCAGTTCTACTGAAGGAACATACCAAGGTTCCATGTATCCCAGTTCTACTGAAGGAACATACCAAGGTTCCATGTATCCCAGTAACCTGCCAGGATGTGTTCTATTGTTAGATTCTCGCATGTTCTGAGAGTTAAGTTGTGTTTGATGTGTGTGTGCGTGTGCGAGCAATTCTAATCTTGTCATTTCAGATGAGTAGGACAAGAACGTTATGACGGGTTGATATTTTCTAAACAACATTTCAGAGCACATTGGACTTTGTCCTCCATTGACTTTGGATGGGCTGTGTTTTGGCTTAACAGCAGCCAGTTAGTGGATGTCATCTCCTATCAGTCTGTTCTCTGTCCCAACAGAGATGTTAACAATGTTAACTGACAGAGGCTGCACATTAGAGGCTGCTGCTGCCTATTGAAATCACTGGCCACTTTAAGAAATGGAACACTAGTCACTGTAATCATGTTTACATATCTTGCACTACTCATCTCATATGTATATACTGCATTCTATTCTATAATATTCTACTGTATCTTAGTCCATGCCGCTCTGTCATTGCTTGTCCGTATATGTATATATTCTTAAATTCCATTCCTTACTAGATTTGTGTGTATTGGGTATATGTTGTGAAATTGTTAGATATTACTTGTTAGATATTACTGCACTGTCGGAGCTAGAAGCACAAGCATTTCGCTACACCCGCAGTAACATCTGCTAAACACGTGTATGTGACAAATAAAATTTGATTTGATTTAGAAGCTTGCATAAGGGTAGGGGACTGGGGGTCCAAGCATTGAGAAGCCTAATGAGTAGCTCCAGTGATTAGCCTCATTGAGAAGCCTAATGAGTAACTCCAGTGATTAGCCTCATTGAGAAGCCTAATGAGTAGCTCCAGTGATTAGCCTCATTGAGAAGCCTAATGAGTAACTCCAGTGATTAGCCTCATTGAGAAGCCTAATGAGTAACTCCAGTGATTAGCCTCATTGAGAAGCCTAATGAGTAACTCCAGTGATTAGCCTCATTGAGAAGCCTAATGAGTAACTCCAGTGATTAGCCTCATTGAGAAGCTTAATGAGTAACTCCAGTGATTAGCCTCATTGAGAAGCTTAATGAGTAACTCCAGTGATTAGCCTCATTGAGAAGCTTAATGAGTAACTCCAGTGATTAGCCTCATTGAGAAGCCTAATGAGTAACTCCAGTGATTAGCCTCATTGAGAAGCCTAATGAGTAACTCCAGTGATTAGCCTCATTGAGAAGCTTAATGAGTAACTCCAGTGATTAGCCTCATTGAGAAGCTTAATGAGTAACTCCAGTGATTAGCCTCATTGAGAAGCTTAATGAGTAACTCCAGTGATTAGCCTCATTGAGAAGCTTAATGAGTAACTCCAGTGATTAGCCTCATTGAGAAGCTTAATGAGTAACTCCAGTGATTAGCCTCATTGAGAAGCCTAATGAGTAACTCCAGTGATTAGCCGATTAGCCTCATTGAGAAGCCTAATGAGTAACTCCAGTGATTAGCCTCATTGAGAAGCCTAATGAGTAACTCCAGTGATTAGCCTCATTGAGAAGCCTAATGAGTAACTCCAGTGATTAGCCTCATTGAGTTGCCTAATGAGTAACTCCAGTAATTAGCCTCATTGAGAAGCTTAATGAGTAACTCCAGTGATTAGCCTCATTGAGAAGCTTAATGAGTAACTCCAGTGATTAGCCTCATTGGGAAGCTTAATGAGCAACTCCAGTGATTAGCCTCATTGAGAAGCTTAATGAGTAACTCCAGTGATTAGCCTCATTGAGAAGCCTAATGAGTAACTCCAGTGATTAGCCTCAATGAGTAGCCTAATGAGTACCTCCAGTGATTAGCCTCATTGAGTAGCCTAATGAGTAGCTCCAGTGATTAGCCTCATTGAGTAGCCTAATGAGTAGCTCCATTGAGTAGCCTAATGAGTAGCTCCAGTGATTAGCCTCATTGAGTAGCCTAATGAGTAGCTCCAGTGATTAGCCTCATTGAGTAGCCTAATGAGTAGCTCCAGTGATTAGCCTCATTGAGTAGCCTAATGAGTAGCTCCAGTGATTAGCCTCATTGAGTAGCCTAATGAGTAGCTCCAGTGATTAGCCTCATTGAGTAGCCTACTACTCACCAATAGAATCCAAACAATAACTTAAAGCCCATCAGGAAAGCAGTTGTATTAACATAACTATTCATCAATCGCTGAATGAACAAATTAATACTTAAGTAAATAAATAATTCATGCATCAGTATTTCTAATTATACTTTTTTGGGTTAATGGCATACATTTTAGTTAAATTAATACGATAGTCAAGTTTGGGGGTTGCTTAATGTTGTTAGTTGGGAGTTGAGTCTTACTGGCTCGTCACACTGTAGTGGAGCGCTGATTGATTTGACAAGTCACGCTCTATCATCATCCAACATGAATTTCCTTGCTCTGTATATTTGGATTGAATCGATCAATAAACCAATCAATTCATCAAATGTAGTTAGTATTTTTAATAGACAGCTACACGTCACAAAGGGAACATACGGGGAACCTATAAGCATAGCTACACATCACAGTAAATGGGCACCTGCAAA